TTCATATTGATTTTAGTGCACCAAGTCTCTTTGCATTCGTGCTGGATGAACAAAATAAATTTCACAATAAGACACCAAGACACAATCTCGAATTTGAATTGATTTCAAAATTACAATACAAGGAGAAATATCAGGCGAATATCTGAGACGGTTAGGTTTCAGGTATCAGACTGGTGGAGGATAATAAGCGAATTGAACGAAAGAATTTATTGTTACAAGATATCCAAGTATGTGGAAGCCTCTTGAGCTCTTCTGTGCACTTTTGTATCCAAGGACAAACTGTACAATGTCAAAGAGCGGCTATTAACAATAAGCAATAATGATGAATGCATGCATGCCTGGGCCTGACCAGCTCTCATAGCAGCTTTCTACTGCAAATAGAGGATGCAGACATAAAGCTGCACACATAAACACAAGTAAGTGGCTTTAAGTGGTGACAGTCCCTCTGTCATGGATTGGTGATGGATCATTGTGGTTGGGTGACTAGCACTGGAAAAAAAAAAGCCACAAGGCTCATTGAATAGAGGGACCTTAACGTGGAAAGATAGGGTTCAAGGAAAGGTGAAAGCAGAATTCAGAGCTCTACAATTCAACCCTTGGCGATTTATTTTCCATCTACACCTCCTTACCTCAGTTTATTCATCAAGTCTGTTTTTCTTTTTTACTTTCCCTGTCCTCTCTTTTTCCCGCTTTACCCAAGTTCACTGGAGGGTTTCACTTAAACAATACATGTTTTTTGCTCCATTTTAAATGTGCAATTATTCATTCTCTAAAGAGGGATGACGACAGGCATGACAAACGAGGAATCACAGAAACGAGGAATATACTCAGTAAGGCCAACGGTTCTTTGATTATCCGCTTGCCTTAAGTGCAAAGACATTTCTAGGCAGGTTCATTACAATGTCCTGAGCAAACAATGAAATTGTGTTACAGTGAGGTGAAAAAAACAGGACTGGAACAATGAAATATGAAGGTTATGGTTCATGTACGAAGAACAAGGCAAACCAGTTTGATACCAAGTAAGTTCGGCTTACTTTGCCTTTCTAAACATGCTACGCTTCTAGCATACTCTGACTGAATCTAACACTCACTGACAGCTTTCTTGGGTACATCTGTTATTAACACAAATATCTAATTAGCCAGTCCCATGGCACCAACTCAATGCATTTAGGCAGATATGATCAAAACGACCTGCTGAAGTTCAAACTGAGCATCAGACTAGAGACTCTGAACATGGGATGGTTTATGGAGTCAGATGGGTAGGTGCGAGTATTTCAGAAACAGCTGATCTACTGGGATTTTCCCCACACAACCATCTCCACAGTTTACAAAGAATTGTCCAAAAAATCCAGAGAAAATATCCAGTGAGCAACAGCTCTCATGGTGAAAATGCCTTGTTGATGCCAGACAAGATTGGCCAAACTGCTAGTGTGGCCATCCTCTGATGGCTGTTTCCAGCAGGATAACACACCAATGTCACAAAACTCAAATTATCTCAAACTGGTTCAACATTGAAGAAGAGTTCACTGTACTCAAATGGCCTCCACAGTCACCTGATTGCAATCTAGTAGAGTACCATTGGAATATGATGGATCAGGACAGTGGCATGATAAATTGTCAGCTAACAAATCTGCCTCTGTGTTGTCATCATGTCAAGGTTTCTGGAGACTTGTTGAATTTATGCTACAGAGAATCAGGGGCCAGTAATAGCAATTCTGCATTTAATCATGTGTCTCGTGTTTGTACAGTCCAACCCCCAATTTTGAAACCAGTTAAAGTTTATTATTTTCCATTAATAGTCATTCTGTTTTATTACCCTGTACATAATTATCACATTGTAAGTGAGGGAGTCCACCACTCCTAACCCTGCCCTGAACATTCCTTTATAAGCACCAAAGATTTACAGCACAATTCACCCATGACACTCCCATGTAGGACTACTCCATATATTTTCATCCCATTAATATTAGCTTCACTGTTTACTGCTGTTTCTTTTTACACCGTAAAAACAAAACATAATAATCACAAAGGTTAGAAAAGACCATTTCAGGTAATCAAAGTGCCGGTACAAAATGAGAGAAGTGTCAGTTTTTTGGCAGTTTTTAAATGGAATTAATGGAATTAGAAATAGCAGCCACGGTGAAGTACTCCTAAGGATTAAAGCTTCAAACGATTTAACAATCTATTGACGGTAATTTAATTTGGAAGCAAACCTGCCTGATAAATGCAATAATATTTGGAGGACGTGGAACTATTTAGTCGAAATCTGCAAATGAATAGCAGATAATAACAGAGGAAGGAGAAAACAACAAGATGGAGAGCTCAGCTCTGAGATCGATATTCTATGAGCGATGGCTGGACCCAGTCCCTATTCTTCCTGCCCTCAATCTCTCTCTCTGATGGCCTTATGGGTGTCCCTAAACTGCCTCTACCTGCTGCAGTTTTTCAGAGAACAACACGATTAAGTCATTCAGGAAATGGAATTGAAATTTGTCATCCCATGTCTCCTATGAATTGTGTTTGCACAGCAGCTTATTCAACTGTGGTTATACAGGCTTTGATAGAAAATGAAAACTGACTTGTTCTGAAATGGATGTTGCCGATGATGGCCTTCTGCTAGAAATTCAGCATTTGTCAATTTGCGTTTCTCTCCCACCAGAAGGGATATTTTTTATAAAAGAGGTTTCTGTCATTCTGTGACAGATTGGCTTTTTCCTTATTTGTTCAATTTGATGTTTTCTGGCCACATCACCAGTGCTGAGCACAACTGACAGTGTAAATGCTCGAAATGAAATCCACTACCATTACAGTCATTCTCTGTATGGCAGAGTCATTGCCACTGTCAAAGAAGCAAAAGCAGCATTATTATGTCTGAAATGATTTGGGCAGACATAGTGCAGCTTGAAAATTGACACTAGATGGGCAAAATTCTGGGTAAAATGAGATCTCCATCCCTTCCCAGATGATACAGTTAGACAGTCCACCTGAATGATGAAAGCCCACCACAGCCTGAGACGCATCCTGGGGGATTGCCCTTCACAAATGCAAGTGATTTCAGTGAGTTTTTGTGGTTGTATGTAAGCAGATGTCAAGACTATACTTAAATGCACATCTGGCGCCTATGTTGTTGCTGGCCTGCTGCTGGCGATATATTAGTTCAGCAAAATAAAGTGTTCTGAAGAAAACACAAATCTTGTGGTGAGGTGAAAGGCTCAGTCGAGCTAAAATTAAACGCTGGACCCTGTTATTACAGGCCCGAGAGATGTGACAGCGTGACCGAGGACTAGAAGATCATTGCACTGCGTTGTTTGTGTTATTACAGTGGTTACCGACTGTTTTTCGTGTGTGATCCTTGAAATGAAACTAGTTTCTACTTGTGATCCCTTAATACTTGCATATTTCACAGACTATGGAGGCCAATTCAAGGAATGAGTCATATTAGCTTCTTAGGGTGCTTTGCATGTAGACTGTGTAGGGTTATAAAGCCCCCCAGGCTGGAAACCGCTGAGTTAAGTTGACAGTGTCAGCAGAAACAGGTTAGAACTTTTTCTGAGGATGACCGTTTTTAAATGTAACACGCAGCAGTAGAGTAAGTGTTTATTTATTTATTTTTTAATTTTTAATTTTTATTTATTATTTATTTATTTTATTTTAGAGGACTCTATACAGTCATGTGAAAAACTAAGTACACCCTTAACATTAAGTACCCCAAGTACTGCTTTCATAGTATTGAAGAAGGTGAGTAGCAGCCTGATAATGCTGATCATTACCTATATTAAATGATCAGTCAGTGTGAGCACATCTATATAAGCAGTAGTTTGGGCATTTTGCTGGTCTACAGCATTCAAATGTGTGTTAACAAAATGGCACAATCTTCCCAGCAGAGGTTATCCCAGGATATTCACTTCAAGGTCAGACTGTGGAATGCTCAGAGCTACATCTCACACTCTAAAGGCCCCAGTTAGAAGTTCCTGACAGTACAATTAGAAAGAGAGTGAACAAGTGTGGCTTGTGGGGAAGGGTACTCTCTATAAAGAACAGGGGAGCACAGTTTAAGGTTCCTCAAGTAGAGATGGAGGCTACAATGTTACAAGCTTGACTGCTCATTACAGCTTTTGTTAGTTGTTCAAGTTTTGCTCTGGCTGTTGGGTTGGGGTCTACTTGGCCTTAACGTGACTCTGGGTACCTCACTAACTTTGTAGTAGCATGCTGTCTGTGCTCATTTGTCAAGACCTGAAGTTGAGTCAGGAGTATAATGCGGATGAATCTGTTTATCTGTTTACCATTGTGCGCTCGTCCTTTTGTGCAATAAAAGTAAACACGATGCCTTTATCCCCGCTCCTCAAAAGTTGTGGATGGACATTTGCAGGAAATGTGTATAGAAGGGCTGTGGAGCATTGGTGAAAATGACTTTTGTGTATGTTTCTTTGTACTTTATGTTCTTGGTGTTTTTCTGTGGCATAATAAATCGGAATACCTGGAAAATAAAAGCATTTCTAAAGCTTTTTCAAAACGTAAAACCTGATTAGGAGTCTCTGAGTATGGGGGGTTTGCCTGTCTGTAGTCACATCACTCAGTCTGTGAAGGGCTTCCTCCTTTGACAGACCTGCATTAAAGGCTTGGGATGTGATCCATGTTCCATTTTCTGTCCTTACGTACTAGTTGCCCTTTGAAATTGAGGTGCTCTTTACACTCCCACACACTGTATGCATATATAAGCAGATACACACACACACACACTTTGGTCTTTGCTGAACAAATGGCTTTTTACTTTATAAAAAAAATCATCTCTCTTGCTGTCTCCACGCAGCTACTGAAGTCTTTTTCCATTAGCTCGACCACCTCAGAACCATAATGGCCATAAACTTAATCAAGCACCGGTTCTTTTATGAGGCCATTTTCATAATATGGATAACAGCACATTCGTCTCCAGCTTAATAAAACCGCATTGCTCCGCCTTGGCCAAGGTACTCCGACACGGTTAATAAGATGTTTACCTCAAGCTGAACGGCCTGCAACGGAACCAGCCTCCAAACCACGCTCACATTCCAAACCCGGCGTAATTACAAGCTCGGTTGATTAATTATGTCTCAACAATATGCTGCACTCCAACGCCACAAGGGCTAATTAACAAAATGAACAAGATGGGCAGGAACACTTATTAGGAAGTTCAAGCTCACTCTCTGAATTTGGCAATGCTGTTTACAGTCCTAAAACACAGGGACAGAATATGTGCGGATATCGCACAGGCGGAGACTAACAATAGCACACCAGTCCAAGCATGTAGAGTAAAAGAGCCTCCGGTGGACACTGATACAGCACAGTGGCTGTCTGTGCACCTGACAACGCACACAGCAGAAACAGCATGCAGCTGAATCCATCTGCCTTATTAACCGGTCCTGCTAACAGTGCATCTTACCGGCGGCGCATCTTATCTCTGCAGCTTCGGCCCAGAGGCAGTCTCACAGAACTCTAATCAGATGGGACTATAAACAATCTGACCTTGACAACATCTGATTAGATATACAATCTGACCCTAGGATAAGAAAGAAGAACAACATTCCAGGCAGAGTTCAATTAGCCCTGCGTCTCCGAATTTCTTAATCTTGTGCTTAAAATGCTTTTTTTTAAAACAGTCTTTTTGTTCAACTGACTGCAGCTTTCACAAGAGTAACAAAAACCATTCTTTAAGACATTACACACACTTACACAAGGAGAATGACCAACAATAGAATACTACAACAGACAGTCCAAAGGTTGCACAATGCAAACTCCAAACTCAGCTCACTTAAGGAACATGTGACTGGAAATTCCTGCTGTCCGCGGAATATGCATTCCGTCTAGCTTGACATGACAAGATTTGTGTCTTATTCACGAGGGAAGGTATTAGAGAACCATCATGAATGAGAAATCCCATTAAGATGAGTAGGTTGCCATTAAATGTCCTTTCATAAATCAAATGAAATTCATGTACAGCTTATTGTCAAGATACAGCCTCCCCTGAGAGACTTTCGGGGTGGAACCTCAGTGATAATGACAGCATTTTGTTTGGAAGCAGTGAGGTCACCATCGTTTTTCATCAAAAATAAATAAAGAAAGAACAAAATAACTAGAGACTTGTAATTAAATGCTGCAATGAACTCTGCCAGCCTTGTTTGTTTCTTTGGGATTCATTAATACGTGGAGCACTTAGTGGGATGTGAAGGCAGGCAATCTTTCCAGTCTTTCCTGAGCTATTAGCTAATGCGAGATGGGCATTAGCTAAGACAACTGGGCATCAGAACAAAACAATGCCATTTAGACTGCATCAGAAGATGAGCAGGAAGAAGTCATAATACAGTGAGTGTGAGATATGCACACTCCACTGGTGCACACATGCCTTGTATAATCAGTGTGCCTGTGGTCTGTTCACAATCTCCATCAAATTAGGAAAGATGTCTGGAAAGACTTCATACTGGAGTAAAGGGATTCTTGTTTTGATATTACTGCCAACGATTTTGCAAGCGGAAACAGTAGGACAGCTGAACTACATTACTTAGCTTAATATTCTTGGATGGTGGCAGAGCAACCCGCAGCCCATCTGTCCAGGGGGAGAAGCCTGTGCTGACTTCCCCCCATATCCCAGAGATGTAGATAGAATTACAAAACACAGCTATATACGATCCTATTGTATCAAATTACACCGGAGTCAATAAAGGCATCTGTCATAGTGTGACACAGCAAGGTGTGCAAATCTCACTGTCAAAACATGCCACAGAAAATCACTGTGATATGTGCTCTGTGCCCCCCGAAACAGAACCAGAATCATACCTACAGTTGCGCTTTGAACTGTTGATCGTGTTGTCTTGCGGCTCTGTCGTAGCCCCTTTTTTTGGATGACACGAGCTCTGGAGGTTCAAGACACCAACTTCTCCTCCGGAGCCTTGCGAATCCGGAGCCTTACAATATGATTAAGTTCCCACCTTCTGGCATAGCGCACACTGTACGCACAGTCCAGGCGCTTCCAAAAATAAAAAACATAATATTCACAATGCCAAAGCGGAATGTCCCGCCGCCCCCCGTGTCCTCCGAATTTCCCAAATCCCTCACAGCGTGTTCTCCTTTATTATTATCCAGCATGCACCTCTCTCCGTCAGAGCACCATGGACAGCCTCCCCATCACGCACTGCTACTCCGACAGCAACCTGGTTTTACATGCTGCCAAATACAGGCAGCTTGGTAGTCTCGTGTAATCCAGGGGTGGACTGAAGTGCCCCTGTTGCTCTTAGAATGACTTTAAGCATCAGTGACCTTATCGCATGCAAGAGTCGGTCTAACAAGTCTTTGAGATTTACTGTTCCGTATGATGGTGAGGGCTGCTACGAGCACTTGAGATTCAGTGAGCAGCGAGTAACAAAGGTGCGCTGAGCGCTATGCAAACAATACATCAGTGGCTAATAGCAGTCAGCTGCCGCTTTCGAGCAGATAAACGCACTTTACCGGCTATTATCCCGGCTATCAGTGCAAGTGCCGTGATCATAAGCGGGTGGAAAGCGAATCTGAAAGCGTTTTGCTTGAATTTTTAAAGAGCGTGAGCTTGCAGCGGTGATTTACGCCTTCAGAACAGAGGGCAGGATGAAAGAAAAAATATGAAATACATATTGCTACAGAAATTATTTCTTAGATCTCAACAGAACCACCTGCTTTAATCTTACTGCTCAAATGCATTCTCGGTAATCACAGCCTCTAAACATAGCAGCAATTACCCAGTTCAATCCCCACAGCTCCCCGACTTCTCCCCAACAGAGAGCTCGCCCTTACCGGGTAGCGAACCACGCTCTTCTCCTCCCCACTGGTGATTTTCCGTTTCACACCACGGCCAGGCATTTGCCAATCAAATCAGCGTGCAACCAAAGCTTTCCCCGTTGGGATATGAATGATGAATATGCGTGATAAATTGTCCATTTTTCCATATCCACAACAGTTCACGCTCGACCCGCCCCCGGGCGGCGGTGATTGGTTCAGAAGCTCCTCGCCGTCTTCGTCGCCCCGTAAAGAAAAACACACACATCTGGACGCGACCCTGCACAGCTGGAGCGCTTCGGAAACCCCGAATTACGCACAGGAATTGAACCGACACAGAGGAACGTCACATTTTCTCGTGGTTCACTATGAGTGTTGAATGTAGTACGTTGTTTATTTTGGCTAAAGATAGCAATCTTGGTGGGAAGCATTGTTTCCAGTACACCAGCGTAAACACAGCATAAGCAGGTAACAGCTCTTTATAAGGGAGACCAGTATAGAAGAATAACCTTGCTTCAGCAGTTCTATGAGCTGTTTAAAAATAGCTTTTCATTGATGGCCAAGTTGAGAATAGGCTACAACACATTATTACTCTACATTAAATTAGAGTGCAGCAAGATGCCTCTTTTTTTATTTTTGGCAACAAAGACTTATATCCATATAACGGGCAGATTCTACAGACTTATAATATCCATTTTTTCCTCTTGCAAACACCAATAATATCTGAATTCTCCTATGGACTGCCGCTGTGTTCTAGTAGCCTATGTTTATGTGAAGTAATGTCGTTAAATGTTACATGGTTAAATTTCCACATCTTTGCATGTTTGACGAGCTACAACATTTTATTTTTCACGAGGGAAGTGTATGTATTTTCTTTTTAATGAAGTAGAAACTACGGAAACAAGACTATGCCAGAGCGCCTCAGTGTAAAGCCGGGATTTCTTAAGCACTTGCGCCGCTGTGCGTCCAGAAAACACCTTTCCCTTCCGTCCTTCCTTATGAATTCTTATTGTCTTGCTGACAACATCGTATCACTGGAGCCGTACCAACCCAAGCGTGGAGAGAGGCAGGCTCGGCAAGCGAGACTAATCACTGTGCAACAGTCCAGAGGCTTTCTGAGGATTAGTGACAGCTGCCACAGTTTGAATCGTGGCTGCAGCAAGCGTTTACAGAAAAGAGAAAGAAACAGAGGGGTCCATGATGGAAATAGTGCATTATTTATATCGCAAAGGAATACA